ATCAGGTGCACCCGAGTCTATACATTGGCATCATCTTTAGCACTTTTAGCGAGGTCCTTGATGCCATGTTTCCCAATACAGCGTATCTTGGTTTCTTTTTTATTTTAATTTTATTTTATATTATTAATTTTAATGAACATTTACAGAGATTTTGGATTTCCAGTCATTCGTTGTTGCATTGTATCTTGATTTCTTGACTGCTGCTACTGTGGTTGTTGAATGATCCAGCAGCTTGCCGGTACTATGCTAATGGTACCCTTAGAGGTTTTGCTAATCAAACTAAGGATTGTTGTTGTTGCTGTTGTTAGGTACCATCAAATCAGGTACAACTCAAAGTGACCCTGTGAACAACAGACCTGACCCCTGTCCCATCCTGGACCATCCTCCCTGTCTCTGATACACTTGAGCCAGTTGCTGCAGTCACTGTGTCAATCCATCTCGAGGGGAGTCTTTGCTTTTTCACTGACCCTCCACCCTTCCAAGCATGATGCCCCTTTCCTAGGAATAGCCTTTCCTAGCAACATGTCCCAAGTATGAGAAGCTTTGTCATCCTTGTTTTCAAGGAGCCCTCCAGCTGCACCTTTTCCAAGGCATACCTGTTCGTTCCTTTGGCAGTCAATAGGATACTCAGTTCTCTTCTCCAACACGACTCAAAGACATTCATAATGCTTCTGTCATACTCATCGTCCAGCTCTCAGATGCACAGGATACCTACCCTTAAAAAAAATCATTTTTGTCTTCCCAACACAGAAGCCATGGCAAAGGCCCAAGGTCAGAAGAGAGCTTCAGTTGCTGACAGAGTCCAGGGCGGCCTCTCTTTACAGATGAGCCACACACTTAGCAGCTGGTGGTGGTGAGCAGCCTCTTTGCTTCCTGGAATCTCAGGCTTTGCCTGAAGATTCAGTGAGGTGATAAGTCAAAGTTCTTTGGACAGACGTGGGGTTGGAAAGACCCCTGTTACTGTCACTCTGGTAGTGGGATAGATCATAGGTCAAGAAGCTAATACAACTTACTCAGACTCACACAGCTAGTTTGAAGGGCTTAGTGTGCAGTGAGAATAGTTAGGACATCTGCGTTGTCTGAAATAAAACAGTAAACTACTAAACTGGGTGTGGTATGAAGTCCAAGCAGTCCTTTCCCTCAACTCCCCCCACCCTCAGACCTCAGAGCCTTGATGCAAGACCTACTTTCCAGCCTCCTTGATCCCTCCTCCCCTTTCTTCCTGATACCCCTGCTGACTCCTTGGTTCTGTTGCTGGCTCATTTAGCTGTTTCTGAGTTTCCTTCCCTGGAAATGAGAAGTTTGCTAAATTAGACTGCAGAGGAACTCCCAGTACAATATACATTATACCACTGGATCTGGCAGGACCCCAGCAAGCTGCCAATACTATGCTAATGGTGCCCAGAGAGGGTTTGCTAATCGCTTTGTACCATTAGACCCTGCTGAGGTTTGGGCCCTCATATCAAGCATGTCATCCTGCTGCAACCTCAGGGCGCCAATTCTGCACTCTTTCATGCTTAATGTGATTGTAGTTCAGGGGTGGGGGTCAAGAGGGAGCAGAGCTGTGTCCCTCCAGGGGATTGGGAGCAACACACAGCAGGCTGTAGCTCTTGGAGCAGGTCATTTTTTTCAGCCTTCAGATCCTGACCATCTGATAAAACCACAGCAGGGGCACCAGCCACCCAGGCTCCCCAATCCCCAGTTTTGCTGTCCTTGGGCTCATGATCCTGCTCCTGGGTTCTGAGACAGCACTAAGGGGGTGGGGTGTGCTTTACTGCTTCCCAGACAGGGCACTCTGCGTGACTGGATGAATTCATTCGGTCCTCACACAGGCAAATGAGAGTGGCCTCTTCATACTCCAACTTACAGGTGGCAGGGTGAGGCACACGATGGTTCAAAAGAACTTGGCCATGATCATACCACCATGTGGGGAAGCAGCCTGACTCCAGAGCCAGCGTGGTGACCTGCGTGCTACCCACACTCCACCTCTGTGACTGCTCCTGGCTTTGGAGAAGCGCCACACTCCCCTCTGGCTCTTGTCACCTCCGCATTTTGTTTGGCTGTTTCCTTGCATGAAGAGCAGAAACCACAGCCTGACTCCCTCTCACATTAGCAATGCATAGTAACCAGTTTATAAAGCCATTCACATACGTGCTTTCTTATTGATGTTGAGGATTTTTCCCTAATCCCCTCAAGAGTTGGACTCTAAAAAGAGAATTACAGCTTATGGATGACTGCCTTTTTAAATCTTGATGTGTTTACAGATTCACAGGAAGTTACCCCAAAGGCAGAGGGAGGTCCTTTGCCCCCTTCAGCCCCCAACACAGCGTTAGCACCGTGTATCACTGTACAGTGTCAGCACAGGGGAATCGACAGGGTCTAGTCCACAGACCTTACTCCTATGCACTTGATTTAACTAGGACCATTGGGCAGCATATGCTATGAATACATACCATCCTCATGGTGCCCACCTTCTTGGTGTGGGAAGACAGCAGGCTTTGGGACCGGGCAAACATCATGGCAGTTACTTCACCAAGTGATTTTCATACAGTGTCCCTCCACTTTTCACAACAACCTATAGTGTGTGTTTTTACCTACAGGCTACATGATGCTGTACCAGTATTTTGGGCAGGTGTGTTGACAGAGTGACAGGTGATGCCAACAACAATCCAGCTACCCTTTCTCCTGTTCTGTACATTCACTGGTGTGTGTGTGTGTGTGTGTGTGTGTGTTTCACTTCCTAGTTTTAGAAGTGGATCACTGGACCTTTCTTTGTAGTATGTCTTCGTTTGCAAGCTAATTACCATGTGGGATCCTTGTTGGTATTTGAAATAACAGCAGCTTAGGTTCTAGCAACATGGCCACTTAGATACAACAGAATGACAGGCAGGCATGGATAATTCTATGTCATCCTGTCACATAAAACTTTGGGTAACTTTCACCAGAGTCAAGATGCAGAACTACCCCATCACCACCATAAGGCTCCCCCATGCTTCCCTCTTACAGCTCTTCCTGCCTGCTTGCAATGGACGAGTGTGCTTTGACCATTGAGTCAGCTTTGGATGGCAGCACGCCCAGTGCAGCCCCAGGCCCCGAGTCTTCACTGATTCTGCCTGGCTGGTGGCATGGTAGACATTCCCTGGCTGTAAATACTCTGGGATGAGCCTCGGTATCGTGGCCCATTGTCTTGTGTATCTGAATTAAGTCTTGGGGACCTTTTATACCCATAAATCACAGTGCACTCCCAGTGACCCTGACCCTGACTCAGGGAAAGCCCTCCTGAGGTTGCCAGGTCCAAAGCAGTGGACTTACTCTTGCCATGGTGCCTTGGTCTGAATTCCATCTGGTAACCCTTGTCTGCTGTTCTGCTCACAGCCATTTCTGTCACTTTCCCTGAGCCACCAGCTGAGATTCTGCTGCAGAACACCCACCCTCGAAGCCGGCCAGCACCACCAAAACTTCTACTAACTGCTGAGCAAAACCTATCTAGCACTGCTGGCCACTCTTTTTTCTTTTTAAATAAAATTTGTAATTTATATTTGTTTACTTATAAAGTCCGTATACATTGTTTTTTACACCAAATCTTTCCCATTTCCTTTACCCACTCCTCCCTCCACGATCAGATTGTGTGACCCTATAATTAACAAACTGTGTGACCCTATAATTAACACACACACACACACACACACACACCCCGCCCATCCGCATCTCTGTTCCCCTCTCCCCTCCTTGGATCCTCGTGCATTGTTCTACAATAATGATCTTACTCAGTTATTTGTCCTTACAGAACTGAGCTCACTCACCTAATGTTCTCCAGTCCCTCCCAAGTTAGGTAGTAATTTACAAAATCATTGCTCCTGCATGCTGTGTCGTATTCCATCATGTAAATGTACCATTATTTCTCAATCCATTCTATTGTGGTTGGACATTTGGACTGTTTCCTTATTCTTGCAATAGTGAATAATTCTACTATGAACATTGGTGTACAAGTCTCCATTTGTACCTCAGTTCTCATTTTCTTGGTATATTCCAAGCAGTGGAATAGCTGGGTCATAGGGAATTTTTATATTCAGCTTTCTGAGGAAACGTGCTGACCACTCTTAATTCGTACATTCCCCTCTTTAGGCCTCATTTTCTTTTCACTGAAAAGGTATTTTTTTTTTTAGTTCTTCATTGAGGGTAAGGATGTGTGTGTGTGTGTGTGTGTGTGTGTGAGAGAGAGAGAGAGAGAGAGAGAAGCAGGGCACTGGGCATGTGTGCAGTCTTCTCTCTTGGGTCAGAAGTCCTTCCTAAAGTCCAGGTTCAGATTTCCTTGAGTTTCACGTTATCTGCTGGTTCTGGAAGGGCCGAGCCCCTCATCCCTGTCTGACTTCCAGACTAACCTTCTCACAGTTTCTTTTACTTCCCTACATGGCTGCTCTCCCTTCTCCTCAAAGAGCTGACTCAGAGAGAAGCTGCACCCAGCATGCCTTTCCCTGGGCTGTGTTAGTCCTCAGCATAAAAGTAGTAAGTGTGTAATTTCCGAGAAAAGACCAGGACACTGCTTCCATCTGCCCCTCACCTGGGCTAAATACCCGGTCCTGGCTCATCCCGGTTCATTAGGACACTGCGTTGAATTTGGGATCAAAAGCTCGAAGTATTCTAGAATGAGCTTGCACATGTTGATCTTTGCTGCAAACAAAAGCAGAATGATTTTTTAAAAAGACAGTTACACTCAGCAGTGTCCTATTGGGGTTTTTTATTCAGAATTAATCCCATCTTTTACTTATGGAATAGCCCTAGGAACAAAGAATATGTCACAAATTGTGTTGTCTACTTACCTTTGTCCACTTCATCCATGCGTCTCCATGTTTGTTGCTTATTATTCCTAACAAGCTTACCTGCAGTTGCTTACCTTTTTCCTTCATTGGTTAGGTGTGAGAATCAGGGAGCTCAGTATACAGGGGGTAAAATGAAAGTGTGTTTGCTAACTGAGTCCATTCTGTCCCTCTTCTCACAAGGTTATCCCCAGCGACCCGTTTTGGGTGCCGACCACGGAGGAGGAGTACTTGCACTTTGGGGAGAAGGCCGATTCCGAGAACCAGGCGCGGAAGTACATGAACGCTGTGCGGAAGCGGAAAGGCCTCTATGTGGAGGAGAAGATTGTGGAGCACGCGGAGAAGCAGAGAACACTCAGCAAGAATAAGTAACTGCTGCTGCTGCTGCTGCTGCTGCTGCTGCTGCAGGTGGATTCCTTCCTGACTCACGAATTAAGAGAGTCTCTTCAGGGCCCGAGATGAGGAAAGCGTCCTCGTGATCCTTCACCTTGTGCATTCGACTTCAATAAAGTTGAGCCGTATAAATATTTTAAGGATGGTAGAGTTTTCAGAGAGTCTTTTTTATCGATTCTGGTGCCAGGCAAGAAGTTGAGTATTGCACCGGTAGCAGATCACACCACCTTTGATGTGCTGTGGAAAGAGCAGCCTGTTTGGTGATGGGGCAGACCCCCAGGGGCAGGGTCTTCTGCAGGGGCAGCCCCCACCGGACCCAGGGCTCCAGCCCTCTCCACCTGCCCACACAGTGTCAGACCCCCAGGCACACTCTCCGCATAAATATCAAGCAGGGGAAACCTATTTAGATGTAATCATTAAATCACACCACTTAACACTTGGGGAGACCACATACTGGGGAGAACAGTAGGTTTTTAGTTCTTTAAACAAGTCACTGTTTCCACTGATCCACTTCTAGTGTTGTCTTGCAAAACCATGGAATGTTTGAGAGTTCTCTTCAAACCTTCTGTCCATAGCCTCCCTCACAGGTCACTGTCAGCATCTCCCTTATTTAAACAAGTGTAAATGAAGTTTAAAAAAAAAGAGATCAAGTTCTGTCATTGTGCTATTTCTTCTTATCTATACCAAAGGAATATTAGCCAGTCTGCATGACGTTATTGCTGTATTGTAAATAATTTTCTTAACTCTCCACAGTTGCCTTATTTAAGGTGCTCCTCATTTTAAGAAACAAATGCAGCTCAGTCATAAATGGATTTTTTAATTTGAGACTGTTGCACTGGGTTTTGTTTTGGTTTTTTTATCCCTTTGAGAGAATTCCTTTTTATAACCCAGGAAATTATCAGATAGGGCCTTGATTTAGAAATGCTTTCCATGGGTTTCCTGTGTAAACTAGGTCGTTCTTACTAACAGTTGAAGACTATCCTTGGCCTTTGGGGCCTTGCCATATCTGGTCAAAGCTAATTGACGAAGACCTTGGGGAAAGTGTGGTTAGATAATTCACTGGCTGTTTAAGTTTAACAGATAATGATACTTGAATTAATTTGAGAGAGCTGTGCTAGGATTGGTTTATTTGGAAACTTTGATAACATGGGGGAAAGCTAGCACTTGGATTTATAGCTTTTGTAAATAACATCACTCAACCTGCCAGATACCCTGTAAAAATTATTCTCAGGCTCTACTTTATCAGCAGATCCTGCATTTAAGAGAAGAGCCATAACCCAGAAAGAGTTGGAGCCCTTCCCGTGTTCTCTTTGGCCCTGCTAGCTGCACAAGTGTGGGGGAAGTGGTGTGTCAAGTTGATAGATTACTTCTCTTCCTTCTCCGTGGTTTGGGGGAGATAATAGTGTGCTGTAAAATGACCACAGAAACGGAGCTGCTCGGCCACCTGAACAATCTCCCCTATTGTGTGATTCATGAGGGGACCCCAGTTGTAGAGGCCCCACCCATCTCTGACAGCAAGGTAGGATATGCCTTAACCGTGCCCTCAGTTTGTTGGTTTAATTGGAAGGGAACCCAGAAACTGTCAGTCCCTCTTCTTTTGTAGGACTGATTTCCTGTAGACGGACTTCAGGCCTGGGATGAAGGCAGGGTTGAGGAAGCCACAAAATCAGTACTCACTCTGGAAGATTCTTTGTAGTACAGTTGAGAGGCTCTTGGCTTGCCACTCCAGGCACAAGCCAGTCCCAGAGGAGAGGCTCAGGATGGAGAGTCTTGGAGAGTGGACAGGAAAGCTGTCCTGCTGGCCATGGAGGGTATGAGGGCCAGGAGCAAGGTGGGAGCCACGCACCCTCACTCTCACAGCCCACAGAATCTAATAGCATCTATTTGACTCACCCTCTCAAGCAACTAAAAGGCTTCTTTGAAAAAATTCCTAGCTATTTTAAAGCGTGAGATCAGTTTGGTCACATGTGAGGCAGTGAAATAGGCTGAGGTCCCTGACATTGCCATGGTCCCTCTGACAAGAGGGAAGAGCTACCTCTCAACAGCCAAGTGGAGATGGATCCACAGGGTCACTCCTGGTGACAAGTACAGCCAGGTGACAGGAAGAGAGGCTGCCAGCATCAAGATGGGCCAAAGCCAGTCTGCACTCAGGAGAAGGGTAGTGTTTGTGCCCTGGGTGAGAGTGTCCATGGAAATGCCCATCCTTACTAGCTGCCTTGATGGCACAGCTTGCCCTTAGCTTCTAACCTCAAGGTCAGTAGTTCAAAGCAACCTAATAGCACTATGAAAGAAAAGCCTGGCAATCTGCTTCCATAAAGATTAAGTCCTTAAGAAAGCCTCTCAGAGCAGCCCTGCTCTGTAACTAGGTCCTGATAAGTTGGAATCAGCTGGAAAGCAATGGGTTTACTCTGTCCTTGGGTGAAGTGCCTTTTCCCTAGAGAAGGTATGAAGAGCAACTCCCATTTATTTGTGGTCTGTTGCCACAAGAATGTGTGTAAGATTCTGAGGGCCTAGTGTCAAGAAGCTGTACTGCAGTCCCGAAGGTCCGCAGTTCGAATCCACCATGCTCTGCTGCAGAAGGAGGGACAATCTCTGCCTGTGTCAGTTAGATCCAGTTCGACAGTACACAAGGGGTAGGGGAAGGATATAAGTAAGAGTTACAACCTGTGTACAACAGCTCTGAAACCTGCTCTATCTTAAGCCAATTTCACCATGTTCAACACACCTACCCCCATTACACCAGTCACTCAGTTAATCCATCTCATCCAGAGTCTTGCACTGTCCCTCCACCATTCCAAGCATGATGTCCCTCCTGGCTAAATGCCCAAAGTATGTCAGACAGAGTTTCAAAATCCTTGTCTCCAAGGACATACCTTTTTCTCTTTAACAATCCGTGGTATGTTGGATACTCCAGCACCGCAACTCAAAGGCATCAGTTCTGTCATCCTTACTCATTGTCCAGCTCTCTGATGTATAGCAAGAAATTGAAAAGACCATTGTTTGAATTGGGTGCACCTTAGTCTCTAGACTGACATCGTTGTACACTAGAGAGGTCCCTGACAGCAGATTTTCCCATTGCAATTTGTCTTTTGATTTCCTGACTGCTGGTACCAAGAGTGTTGATTGTGGAACCAAGCCAGCTGAAGCAGGTAGCAATCTCAGTCTCCTCTTTCTATCATGATCCTGCCAGTTGGGTCAGTGGTAAGAATCTTTGTTTTCTTGATGTTGAACGTCAATCCATATTGAAGGCTGCAGTCCTTGACCCTCTGCAGCAAGCACTTCAGGTCCTCCTCAGCTTCAGTAAGCAAAGTTGGGTCATCTGCAAAACACAGGTGGTTGAGTCTTCCTCCAATCCTGATGTCATATTCCACCTCAGAAAGTCCACCCTCCTGAACTAGTACACAGGTAGACTAAAAAGGGAAGGGGATAAGATGTATCCTTAGCATACAGTTTTCCTGATTTTGAACTATGCAGTATTTTCCTTGCTCTATTCTGATGACTGCCTCTTGGTCCAAATAGAGGTTTTGCATAAGCACAATCCTCTGTTCTGGGATTCCCATTCTTCTCAAAGTTAGCTACAATTTATTGTGATCCACATAGTCAAATGCCTATGCATAGTCAATGAAACAGACATTTCTCTGGTATTCTCTGCTCTCAGCCAAGATCCACGTGACATTGGCTATAATGTCCCAAGTACCACAGCCTCTTCTAAACTCAGCCTGCACTTCTGGCCGTTCTCTATTGATGTATTGTCCCAGGCATTTTTTGACTACTCTTCAACAGAATCTTGCTTGCAGGTGATGGTAATGATACTGTTGATAATTTTCACTGTTGCTCACCTTTTTTTTTAAATGGGAATAAATAGGGATTTCTTCCACTCAGTTGGTGTGGTAGTTGCCCTCCAGTTTTCTTGGCACAACCTAGTGAGCACATACATGCAGGGCAGCATCTATTTGTTGAAACATGTCTATTGGTGTTCCATCAATTCCTGGGGCCTTGTTTTTTTCCCCAATTCACTCAGAGCAGCTTGAACTTTTCCTTTCATCATCAATGCTTTTTAATCATACATTGTTTCATGAAATTGTGCCAGCCAGTTCTTTTTTGTATAGTGACTCTGTAATCCTTCCATCTTCTTTTGTTGCTTCCTGGGTCATTCAGCATTCTACCTACAGCAATTTGAGGCTTGAATTTGTTTTTCAGTTCCTTCAGCTTAATAAATGCTGAGCGAGTTCATCTCTTCTGATTTTCCAACTTCAGCTCTTTGCACATTTTATTATAATGCTCTGTCTTCCCATGCTGCCCTTTGAAATCTTCTATTCAGCTTCTTCTTGATTTCTTCCCTTTGCTTTGGCTTCTTGGTGCTCTATTGCAATATTCAGAGTCTCTTCTGACATCCATCTTGGTCTTGTCTTCTTCCATCTTTGTAATAACCTTTTCTGTTCCTCATGGATGATATTCTTGACATACACCCATAGTTCATCTGGTCTTCCTTATTAGTATTCAAGACCTCAAACGTATTCTTGAGATGGTCTTTAAAATCCAGGTGGGACAGACTCTAGGTCAGACTTTGGTATCTGTATGTGCACATGTATGTGCACAAGCTGTGCCCTATCTACACCACCCTCAGCATGTTTAGGCTCATTGTCTCAGTCACTGTGCCAATCTGTCTCATTCATTCTGAGTCTTCCTCTCTTTTACTGACCCTCGCCTTTTCCCAGCATGATGTCTTTCTCCAAATATTGGGCCCTGCTGACAACACATCCAATGTATGTGAGACAGTTTCACCATCTTTGTCTCTAAGGAGCAACGTGGCTGCACATCCTCTAAGACATATTTTGTTTCTTTGGCAGAACATGGGATAGTCTATACCCCTGACCAGTTTCCTGGCTTTTTTTTTTAACCTCTGCGGTGGTAGATACTAGGGAGCTCTGGTGGCCAAGTGATAAGAAGTTGCATTGCAAGCCCAGGGTCACACGGTT